CCAGCTTGGTAATCACGAAAGCTAACACGAGCTAGCTGGAGTTGTCCTTGCTTTAGCAGGTGTGGGGCTGGAATCCTTGAGATCGCCGCATCACATGAAAACTTCATATGTAGAGGGCCCCCCCCCCCGGGGTCAACTCCCCCCTGGGACGCCTCTGGGACACCTCTTGGACACCTCTTATGGCATCCACTTTGGTTCAACTCCTCCGTGGAGGTTTTGGGATACGATGCAACAGATTCAACAGATTCACAAGCTAAGGTTGGCTGTGTGATTGCTGTTCGTGTGTCTTACATGTTCACAACGTTTTACCTCATGAGCGAGACCTTGTGAACCATCCCTCCAACAGCCCCATGCCTATGAAAAAAGTTTTGCCTCACTCCGCTTGATGTCCCACCAGTCCTTTGTCACTGGACGGCGCTGTATGCTTCGCCTCCACTGACACGGATGCATCCCTGCTAGCTTTCGTCACCTACCCTCGGCCTCAAGTACCGTTCCCAAATACCTGGAGTCTCGAAATTCTCAGTTCGTACCCAGAACATGGGGTGCAAGTGCTTGAATTTTTGTTTCGGGCCATGTCACATGTCCTATTTTGTGGGATACGAACTGATGGTCCAGAATGGTCCAGGTGTTTCGGGGGCCAGGTGAGGGTCTTTTTGACGAATTTCTGGACACCGCTTTCTGAGAAAAGACGTAACAACCTGGGGAGGGGCCTGTTGTGAGCAGTAGACACTTGAGACAAAGTGCATTTTTGTTCCCCCACCTGCCAGGTCCTGATAACTTCTGGGGCAGGGATGTAGTTGTGGAATCTTGGCTTCCCAATAGTGAACAAACGAACATTTCACTCTCAGGTTCGCTAGCTGGTGTTGCAGATCTTGACTCTCTCGTATGACTCTCTGGTATGACTGTGATGGGTCGTCTCTTTAGTATTCTTGAGTTAATTTCGAGCAATTCCATGATATTCCATGCCATTCCCATTTGGTGCTTTTCGAATGCCTTTTGCCAGCGCGACCCGCGCGACCCGCGCGTTGCAGTGGTAGTCGGCCAGTGTTTGCCGGTCGAAGGAGTCATCCGCAGGTGTATCCGCATCCGCCATCGGAGACATCGGAAAGGGCGTTTCACTCCTCCACACTGCAATGGGCATATTGGCTGATCAGGGAGAACGACCCACTAATATGCCATCGCGGATTCTGGTCTACGGCGACAGTATCCAGTCCCAGGTCCGAGTCGTGTTAGGGACTGATGGGACTGATTCCAGACATCTACAGATTGGTTCCTCGGAACATGTGGATCACCGTCGGGAGGGGTGAAACCCACGAGTAAGCGAGTAACGGGTAGAAACAGATCATAGAACCTTGTTCATAACCTACTTCAACCTTTATTTTCCAGGGATTTCTGGCTCAAGATTTCTGGCTCAAGATGTTTTTTTCAGTCCCTGGACCTTGTGGACCCTCCACTCCTCTATACGATGACCCCGGTGGGCGATGGCACACTCGAGCTACGCAGGTGACAAGCTATGCAGACTACGAGACAGAGGTGGGGTGGCATCAACCACGTGGGGTGACCGGGTTACCGTGATGGGGGAGAGGTGGGAGGCCGTGTCAGTTCTGTTCTTTGGTGTGGAAAAACATGGAAAAACACTGAAAGAGATGATGGATGAAAGATAGGTTGTCCTTCGCAACTCTTTGCCTCCGAGGTCATAGCTACTTGAGATTCTAGTGATTTGCTAGCTGCTTCCGTCTTAGCTTATTCGTAAACCTCCTCACCGCCCACTCCTCCTCCGCACCGCCGTAACGGCAGGTCATCACCAGCGAGGCGGCCCTGAACCGTACCCGCGTGACCGAGGCGGGTCTGAGAGTGGAGAGTCACAGAGACCGAATAAATGAAATATAATGAAATGACATGTATATACATGTGACATGTATACATGTCATGTAATACATGGCATGTATATACTCTCTTGGCACACTCCCCAAAGATGTCCTTTAGATGGGGTCCATCTAAACCACCCTTTGGGGATTTTGCCATCTACTGTATCTTTCTACCTGTCTACCTACCTACCTCTATCGATCTATCGTTCTATCGTTCTATCGATATATCGATCTATCTATCTATCTATCTATCTATCTATCTATCTATCTAATTAATATATCTATCTATCTATGTTTGCACCTACAATGCCCAAACACGACGGGACTGGCTGATTTGCCGGTCAGTTGGACCGGTTGTTTCTGGTGTCTGGATATCAAACAGACAACGTCCCAAACCCGTCTCTGCTAAATCCCGAACCTTCTACATCACGTCGTATCTTTTGCGTGGGACGCCGTAGACCAGCGGACCCCGCGCGGCCCCGAGGTCCATGGGCCCAACGAGTCCCTGACCGTGCCGCCCTGCACCATGGTGGTCCACTCCGTCGCCGCCGAGCAATTGCCCACGGTGCACATGAACGTGCAGCGCGCACGAGCGCAACGGGTGGAACGTGGGGGTGGCAAATGCGTCTTGGATCCGGCGACTGGGATGTGGAACAGCTGACTTGGTGACCAGAAGTTTCAAAGGGATCCAAAGGGGGATCTTTCAGGATAGGAGTTAAATTGATCTAATTACTTATTTTTAAACAATCTATTTATTAAGCACCCCCTTTGGCGCTTGTGAAACTTCTGGGAGTTTTTTTTCTTGGTTTTTGCAGTAATTGTAAATCTCCAACATCAACGCATTGAAAGGCGTTCTTTGCTTGGGGGCACCTTCCAAAATCAATTTCCAGAGGAAATGTAATGCTGCAAGCAGTTTGTTCCAAAGGTATTGGACATCAGGTAGATTGAAATATATGTGTGTGTGTTCCAGGTCTTATGTCTTTTTGTTCAATGCTGTCCATTAACTGACCAAGTGAGGCAAAGCTGGCACATGGCGCATCCATGGTCTTGTCTCCAGAGCTACTTGGAGCCGCATGAGATCATAAAGAAAATTCAAATGGAGTGTCAATGAAGCCTCATTCACCTTGTGCGTGGTAACAAATCAATTGACATGAATGAAAGCACCTGTTTGGTTCTGTCATGTTCTGATCTGTGTGTGTTGTTCCTCTGAGTGTTCATCATGTTGAATGAACAAGTGAGAGAATCCTGCCAATCAGAGAGCGGCTGGCCACTGGCCAGCCGAACACTCTCTCTTCCTGTCCCTGTTGAGGCAGCCTCACTGGTCTTGTCTGTCGGTGTCTGTCTTGGAAAGACGTGCGAGGCACGGACATGGCACCTTTGTTTGGCCCACGTCCATGTGTTGCTTGTTTGTTTAGCCACATCGGGACGATCAGCTACCGTACAACATGTCAACACAAAAAAGGTCTCCAAAAACAGACAAGTTGTACCATAATGTTCCATATATGTTGTGTTTTTTGTTGCGCTTTCGCTCACAGAACTCTTGGATGTTGAAAACAACTGTTATGCCAACAAGACAACATGCATGTTAATCCTTTTAAACACATCAATTAATCTAGTCTAAAAGCTAAGGAAGTGAATTTTTCGTAGTAGGGTGTTCCCATTGAAAATCAGTCCAGCAGAGACAGTTTCCTTGTTTGTCCGACCAGTGGCCAAGTCGTTGAGAACAGCAACCTGGCAGTGGTTGGAAATGTATGGTGTGTTCCTCAAATGACATGTTGGTTTCTTTGTGATTATATAGAATCTTCAAAAGGGCACATATGTTGGAAACAAACATATTTTGTTGAGGGGAGCATATTGATGTGTTTTCAAATGTATAGTGAAAAGTGGACTTTCTTGATGTTGCTGCTCATGTAAAATTGATTAAACCAAGATGGTTCAAAGACAAAACATCATATCAAAACAACAACATATAGATGAACAAACATGGCGCCAGCACTGGCCAGCACGGACGTCCATCAAAAGGCGAGTCCCTTGGACCATCCGCCGGTGAGTGGGAGTGCGTAAGTGCCGATCTTGCGTACTCCTCGTCCCACCGTACTGGATGATCTACAGGTTTCATACCGTCCATACCAGCCCTAACGGTGTTTCCGTTTGATTTGGAATGTGCCGCGCCCATTGTTCTTGAAACAAAGGCAAGAGACCGACAGCGGCTACCAGTGGGCCGTCTACAACCCTCGTGAGTATCAAGCCTTGCTGAGCTGTAGCGAAGCACAGGCGCTGGACAATGCAACTCTTTAGCGATGAAAAGAAGAGTTGGCAGAAGTCACATGTGTTTTGAAGGCTGTGTGTTTCTGACACATCTCAGGCAAATGGAAGGAATCATGCTGTCATAAATGATGACGGGTTTTGCGGATCAGGTGTAAACCCCCAATCCCGGGGAAGATATGTTGTTTTCTTCCCCGTTCCGAAACCAACAAATCCAAGTTGGAGACTTGTTTTTTGTTGGAAGCCGTTTCTCGTGATAGAAGAAGTGTACCCCAGTGGATCCCAGTTGCCACTTTATATTTAGAATTATTTATATAATATACACGGAACCAGGGTTTCGTTCGGTCTATGGGTTTAGTCTTTGGAACCACTGACAACTGGATGCACTGGGTACTTTTGAAAGAAGAGTCTAGACGATTGCGCCACCACTTCCAACATAAATATAGGTTCCTGTGAGCCGTCGGGGGCTTAATCGGTGGTGCTGGAAAAGTTGTTTCATATTCTTTTTTCTGACCACAGTATCGAATGAATGGAATCTTTGTTGTTCTGTTTTTCTGCAAGTTCATTTCAGAATGGGCACATCATCCCCTGCACATCAGCCACTGCCATCCATCGGCGTTGCGTCGCGGCATCCCTTGTCCATATGCGACAGATGCATGAAATCCCTAGGCCGTCTCTACTACCAAACCCTAGGGCTCCAGTCGTACCTTCCAAGAAGGTGGGACTGGGGTGGGTGCCAGGAGGGTCCAAACACCTTCTGAGGAGCTACCTGGAGCCCTAGGGAAAGATGTGCTTTTGCCGGTGCCGTCGTGACCACTGACCTATCAGTCCTCGTCTCATCTGCTGCCGGGTCCGGGTCCTGCTGAGGGTCAAGGTCCTGACGCTGGAGGCGACCGGGTCAGGGAAGACAGGGAGTCACTCGTGACTCGACTTGAAGAGCCTGGGACCCGACTTGAAGACCTCTATGAAAGTCCGGACATGATGGACATGACCCGAACCAAAAACTGGTTATACCATATCCTTCCTTCTGAGGTACGAACAAGCTCCTGTATGAATGAACAAGGTCCTGCACGCTCGGTCCCCCCAAAAAAGAGCATGCACATATGCACTTTTTCCACCCCCCAAAAAAGCCCAAGCATGTCGCCCTGTGGAGTCTTTGGGACTTATCAGCAATCCCATCCTTCCGCCAAAGATCTCAACAGCCTCGCCTCGCTCTCCGAGCTTTCAATCTACTGGGGTAAACATCAACGCTCAGCAAAAGCCTCTCCAGCTCCTGCAAGCAATGAAGGATGATGTTGTTCTTTGAGAAACATCGACCCTGAGATGTCCTTAAAAGATGGAGCAATGTCGACTAGACTCCTGATAGAAAGCTGCTTTTCTTCCCATGCGATGTCGCAGGCGCGACAAAGCCGACATCAGGGCATCAAGAGCCAAGCGGAGTTGGGCCAGGCCAGGCCGGGGGCCATCGGTTGGATTTGTACTTGGCTCGCAGATATTGTGACATGTCGTCCTGGCTCTTGGTCGTTTTGACGCGTGGTGGTGGTTTAGACCATGTTCCGAAGACATGCCATTTGCCATGTGGTTTTGCGGGTTCCATGTTAATCAATCTTCCTGGGTGTATTCGATCTTGGTGGCTTTGTGGGCCCTTAGGCTTCGATTCATGAAAAGCATCGATTCGATGCATAAGAAAACGATGGGTCGACTCGAGAACCCCTCAGAACTCGACCGCCCATCAGAACTCGTCATGTTGGTCAGTTGGACCTCATGTCATAAAGTTGGTCATACATGTTTCACTTAAATAAAGGACCGGGTTTTACCGGGTCAGACTGGACCTGTTTGCGTACTCAACCTGACGGAGATGTGAAGTCCTGCACTCCGTTTTCCACCTAGAAAGTGGCGTCGGTGGAGTGGAGGTCCTTTCTGCCGGAGATCGTAACACAGAAATACATGGAAATAGATCAACGCAAAGCAGGTGTCAGGCACAGTAGAGTTCAATCCAGACCCAGACACTCCATGTATGGCACCATTGACCAGGCCACCTTTGGCGTGCTGTCAGTTTCACGGGAGTTGGGAGATCATTCATGAGAATTCTAATTGCATGCACATCCTGTGCTGGGTGGACTCAAAGCACGGCCGGGCCGTTAAACAGTTATTGTGCGAGGGGAGGTGAACTGAGATCTTTGCCGGTCTTGAGCGTCAAGCTCCTAATAGCGTCCTTGTTCAAAGTAGTAAGGCCAGGAGCCCCTAGTAGCGTCCTTGCTCCTAGTCACGATGCCAGGAGCCCCTAGTAGCGTCCTCAAACGAAATCCTGAGAGCTGAAGCTCCAAGGGCTGGTTAAGAAGTGACGACAGTCACCCCAGCCCCAAACACATGAGATAGGAAGGGCCGCACAGAGACCTGGAAACCCCATTCCAACAAGAAACGAATGGTTGTTCCACTTCCAATGTGGCTTGCTTGAGAACCTTTATGTTGGAACTGGCTGGGACTGGGAAACACAGTGAAACATCCATTTGTTTCTCGTTGGGACTGGGATTCCAGCTGTGTGTTTTGTTCCTTTGGGTTTCGAGGGACATTTAAGAAATCATGATATGTCATGTTTCCAGCCTGTTTCCACCTGAGACAGCGGTTGTGTCTTTTTTCTACTGAATTCCTCCATGATTGAGGCCTTGGCCAGCATCGAGGAGAACCGCACCTCCAATGCACGAAGCTTTGAGGATGAACCGCGCCGATTTTACTTCGAGTCGGCTGCATTTGGACGACGGATGGACGATGAATATAGGACCACGAATAGTCCTAGGTTTCGAGCGTTCTTTGGGAAGCGTTGCGAAGGCAAAAAGATCAATTGGCGCGTTTGGAATGGAGTTAGACCTGGAGTTTTCAACCTGTTCGTACCTCAGATGGGTGCAAGACGGCCCAGTCGTACCTGTTAGGGTCCAGGGTACAGGGTACGAACGGTCCGTCCGGTCTCGCGAATTCCGGGAGAGATCCAGTGACGCCCTGCGAGAGGGTACCCGACTCGCTAGCATGGTGAACCGTGCCATGGCGCCGATTGGAGTGGACGCGTGGACGAGCGGCGCCTTGCGAACCCGGGGCACTCTATACTTCCATGTCATGTCATGTCCGGAGTGAAGTCTAAGCATAGTGCACTGCACTTAAAGGTGCACCGGGTGGTTGACGAATGGGAGGATCCAGATTCCCTATTCGAAAGGGTTGGAGCTGTCGAAGGGTTCGAAGGGTCTCCCTTTGATCGGTGGACGAGTTTGATGGTAGATCTTATTCACAATGGGCTGGAATCCGTGACGAGAGAACTGAGAACACCCTAAAGTGTTCCTCATGGCATGTAGCACTTTCCCCACAAATAAGTAGCACTCAATATCTTGAAGTATTCAAGAGTTCAAAGATGCTATGTCACATACCTCAAGACCACCCAAAGGCATCAAGTATAAGCCAAACTTGAAAGAATGTGAAACCCTTTGGCTGCAGCGCAAAACTGTTTTCCCTTGTGGTCTGGTGCTCCAGCGTGCTCAGATCTAACTGATGCTGATAGCCGGCTCAAAGCTTGGACTTCTTATACGGGGATGCCGCCTTCTTAGCATCCCTCGCAGCCTGGCAACATTGGAGGTGTGCACCCAACCAAATCAAAAGCCAAGAGCCCTGGCCTCCTCAGTCGTCTTGCCGGAAGCAATCACACGGCGATACACCCTTGAGTACACGTTGTTGTACTGCATTTTGAGTTCAGGTTTTGTCGGCTTTGCTGCCTTGGATTTGGCTGCAGTTTTTCTTCCGCCCTTATTGGAAACACGCTTGGGGGTAACAAGTTTTTTGGCAACAGCCTTGGCCTTTGGCTTGGGGCTTGGGGTTTTGATGGCTGAAGCTTTCGGGGCTGGTGTCTTGCACGGTGCACTGCCTGAAGAGTGCCTCTTCCTCTGGGTGGGCATGGGGTGGTCGGCCTTTGCTTTGGGGCGTGCACCCAGAGATAGTGACCTCAAGTAAAGCATTCTTTGTGAGGGCATGGAATAATGTATCTCTATGATACATGGTGCTAGGTGGTGGTTTTGATGGTGTTACATAGTTTTAGATGGTTTTCTCTGAGGTTTTGGCATTCCATCGCCAGGTCCCTCCTAGGAAACACGCAGGCTTGGATTTCACCAGCCCCGACTATGTCAAGTTTCACCAGGTTGCTTTACAGACCACTTGGGCTGGTCAAAGCCAAGTTGTTTGATAGAAATCAAAAGCGTTGGCTTTCCTATAGCACCTAATAGCACCTACTTTTTGCAAGGACTCGTTGCTAGACACTGCCAGGGACATGAATCAAAGCATCGAACTGCTGGGTCCTTCACTGCCAACTTCTCCAGGACACCTGGTTCAAAAAAGACACCAGTTTAAGTTGCCCAGGGAGTCATTCCAAGGTGTTTTCTCACTGACACTGCCCCTTGAACAAAAGCATGTGCCTTCGGAAGGGTTGCTCAAGCCATTTCCAATATCCTGCCAAGCTGAACAACACCCCCCAAAAAGATTTTGTCATTCCTTACCTCAATGGATGGGCCCCCATCTCCAAGAGGTGAACGTGCTGGAGAGACAGGACTTGGCTGAGTGGCCATAGTCACCTGCAGAGCGTTCTCTGACAGATCGCCCCTCAGGATTGAGCCATCATGGTTGGCTTTTGGATCCTCGTCTTCGAGGCCAGGCAGCTCCTGGCGAGCCATGATATCTCTCACATACTGTAAATATATATATATCGCTTTGCACATAAGTATGTATGTATGTATGTATGCATGCATGCATGTATGTATGTATGTATGTATGTATGTATGTAGGTGAGTAGGTAGGTAGGTAGGTAGGTAGGTAAGGAAGTCAAGGTGAGTAAATGTAAGTAAGTATATTTACTTAGGTAAGTCGGTCAGTAAGTAAGTAATTAAGTAAGTAAGTAGGTAAGTAAGCAAGCAAGAAAGTAAGTACATAGGTATATAAGTCTAAGTAAGTATGTAGTATATCAATAAGTAAGTATGTACGCAAGTAAGTAAGGAAAAGGATTGGACCTGGCCTTTCTACAGCAGTTAGGCAATCAAATGAATAAGTACATGCATGTATGTATGTATGTTTGTTTGGTTGTTTTCCTGCATGGTTGTCACTCTATGGGTTCATCCATTCTATCTATTTGTGTGTCTATCTATCTTTATGTTTCTATCTGCAATTGCACACCTGCATGTATGTGGACCCCTATGTATATACATGCGTTAATTATAGTTGTTGAAGTTTGGATATGGGCCATGGAAATGAGTTGGAGAAGGCATGGGAGGCCACCAATGATAGCGCTAGTAGCTTTACAGGGCTCCAAAGGACATTAAGATTCTTAAGTGGACGTTGGGCGCTGGAAAGCCACATGTGCAACCAAACAAGGGCACAGTACCTTGTCAGGGTAAAGGGATCATGGTGCAAACCTTCGCTATGCTAAAAGTTCATTGGCAATACAAACCTCATAGGGATGGCAGTAAAGCATTGAGAAAAGGAGAACAAAGAGAAACGTATAAAGTGAGAGAGAGAGAGAAAGACAGAAAGAGAGAAAGATATCTACATAGACAATAAACAGGGTTTCTGGTGATCCATGAAACCTTGTGCAGCCTACCCAATCTATAGATGTCCCATATGTTCTACAGCTTAGCGTTGTGGAACAAGGCACGGCCAGCAGGGCACTACAACAAGTCAGAAGTTCCAAACGGTTAGATTTTTTGATGCGCAGGACTTTTTGGGTGCATTTGTTATACTGGAGGGGCCAACAAACATGTAGGTAGGATCAAGAGAGCAAAAGGATTTTGCAAGTTGAAGTCCTGAGCCTTCAAAAGTGAAACAGTCATTCCCGCAACACTGCAAAAAGAAAAAAACCTGTCCAAGGTAGTGGCCATGCTCACAGCGTCCAGTGAATGAGCCTGGGGCAAGTGCAAAAGCCTGCAAGACATGAAGACACAGCAGCTAAGGGTCAGTGCCGGGGACATAGGACCGACAGTGCCATCATCCTGCAACGTTCACTCTTCCCTATTTCCAAAAGGGACTCAGAAAGGTAAACCAACTTCATGGACAAGGCCATGCCTTCATCTCGTTCCAGATCTCTGTAGACACGACTTCCTGCCAACGGCGAGACGTTTTAAGCCGCTGGCCCAACACAAGTGAATGAAACATGCACCTGGCCTCATCCACGAGCCCAATGTCCACCAAGCAAGCTGGGGCTGTGGAAAGATCTGGTTCTTCCCCCAGTTCTTGGGATTCTTGGGGACCAAGATCTCCAGGCGAAGGAGCAAACTCTTGGGAACTCTGAATGACCTCAGCTTGAATATTCACTTCTTGCTCCACTTGGGCTGCGCGATCAAGGGCCTCTTCCAGCCCATCGTCTGATGAAGCGGATTCACTTGCTCCACCATCGTGTCGCTTGCCATGTCTTCGCTTCTTCTTGTGTGGTTCCTTCTCTGCCTCCTTCACTTTTCCACGCTTGCTCTCTTTGTCCTTCTTGGAACGCTTTGGGCGCTTGGGTGCTTCGTCAGCACCCTGCTCAGCATCATCATCATCATCGTTGCCTTTGCAACGACCCAAAACTGTTAGATCAGCATCCTCCTCTTTCTGGCTTTTTCTCCCACGTGTTTTTGCAGCAGGCCTTTTGAGCACTGGCTGTGGCTCTTCTTCCTTGGCCTCTTCTTCACCAGATGGTTCTTTGTGTTCTGAGCTTCCTGAAGTCTCAACATCACAGCGGCTCATCAAATTGACAGAGCTTTTTCCTCTGGAAAGCGTGCTGCCTCCAGTTGGTGTGGTCTGCTGACTTGCTCTAACTGGAGCGCTCCCATCGATGATGGTGGCATAGTCCTCCATGGAGAAGGCAGGGCTCACCAGGACATTCCCCAGCCCAGAAGTTCCTGCCATTCCTAATGAAATTGACTATGCTAAGCGCCAACCGCCTATGATCACAAAAGCCTACATTGAGCAAAAGCAAGGCAGAGTTTTGTCAACTGCTGCGCAAAAGTTCAGCTCTACCTACAGAGGGCAAGATGAAAGAAAGGCTTGAAGTTGTTACCTCTTTTTCCCAGAGGCTGGTGTCTCAGAGATTCAGCTTGAATCTGACTTATGCCAGGTGGCATTGCTTGATTGCAATGTTACGCTTCGGATTGCACCACAAGCGGCGTCAAATAACTTCATAAGCATCACCAATTACCAAACATACTGAAACAGGGCAATTGTGTCCTACTCACACCAGGCTTTACAATGAACAGTGCAATTCTGAAGATCCCCAGTCAGGCATCAAAGTTGCCAAAAACACATCCCAGGATTCCCCAGGCTCAAAAAAGCTTGAGAGCTTCATTTTCTTGGGCTACAATAGCACCGCTCAAGACCGCACACGGCCTCACTGGAACCAATTGAGGGCCCTCACTGCCTTCATTGTGAAGCCTGCCAAGGCCACACAGCCAGTCAAGAACAAACCAACAAATGGGCACCTCAACCGCCAAACGGTGGAGACAGTCTTGTTCGATCGAGTCTTGGCCAAGTCCGTCTTGGCACCAAAGGTCAAGGCACTTGCCTGCAACAACAGTCAAGTCACAAACTCAAGAGAACTTCATGGTTTTCACTATGAATGAGCAAAATTCAACAGCAATGAGCAATGGTGGCACACTGCAGTAAGCCTTCCAAGCATTGGAAGTTACAGCAACAAGTTCCATGCTTAATTCAATCA